TGTGACTCCACATTTAAGAAAGCCAGCATATATTTAATTCCCTGGCAGCCAGGAGCATTGTGGCTTAGAACTTGCTGCCACTCGATCTCCAACACCCTGCTTAACACTTACACAAATTGTAAGAGCATGTTAGATGCTTGAGTAGTGTTTAACCAGAGGAAGCATCATAACATATTGGGATATGTTGAGACAGGGGAGAGCAAGATGGTTTTAAAGTTTTTGAATGCATAGGGCTGGAAGAAACACTGCCAATCTTTGTAGTAGTGCCCCTGATATTTTGTGGGACTTTGGTGAATTTGGAAATTGGAAGAGTATCTCATGTTGGGATCTGCAAGAGGCAGCAATGTCACAAACAAGTGGGCAAATTTCTCCTGTCCTGGGTGCAATGTGATTCTTGGACTAACGCGTGTTTTCTTTAATCCATAGCTTTTACCCACAACACCCGATGAGTTTCTTCTCTTCCAGACAGCATGCCCCTTATTGATTGGCCATCCAAACATCAACATGATTTTTCCCACAACCATGCCGGGCCTGGGATCCAACGGCCAGCAAGCCTCCCCCACTATCACTTTATATATATAAATCATAAATAAGTAAGAAACAGCAGCTTCCGGGGTCTGAAGATTCCACAGGTTCTTGACTATATCAAGAGCAACAAAGTGGTAAGACGTCAAAGCCGAGTGAAGACGATTATTTAGCCTTTGTCCCTTCCAATATCTCGGTGCTATAAATTCCCCAAACCACGAAGTTGGAGATCTAGATCATAGTTTAGAATCTGATATCACAATTCTGAGATCAATCATCATGGCGAGCAAGTCCCAGCTGATACTCTTGGCGATGTTTGTGACACTCCTCCTAGTGGGAGTGGACGCCCAGCAGCGATGCAAATCCGGATGGAACTGGGATGGTGAGAAGTGTATCCGGTGCCCGAAAGACTGGTACTGGTATGGCAACGGTTGCCACCAATGCCTCTCCGGATGGAAGTGGAGTGGAAGCAAATGCGTGAGTTGCCCAAGCAGCTGGTACTGGTATAGAAATGGCTGCCATCGCTGCCCTCCTGGTTTGAGCTGGAGTGGTGGTGGAAGCCGCTGCATTAGGATGTGATCACACAACACTGCTGTAATATGACTTCACCACGGCATTTGCAGGAATAAAGATTTGCTGTAATAGACCAGCAATGCTGGAGTTTGAAGGAAAACTGTGGCATTTGCAGGAATAAAAGCTCTTGCAGCTTCGATTGTAGCATTCCCATTAGCCGTGTTGAGGAAGCAATCCAGCCTGCAATTAGAGTCTTTGAGAGGTGGCTTTTCTTGGTTTGATCGGTTTGGAGATGTTATCTAGCCCTCTATTTTGACTCAAAGGTTTGCAATTTCTTCGTAATTTCTTGTTGCATGGACCATGAACTGGTGGGCGGCGAGGAGATTTGAACTCAAGAACTTCGTATTGGATGCGGTTTGTGCCTGTCCACCCCAAAAGATGTCATGCATTGTCCATTATGCTTGGCGGCACGTACTCAATTTCGTATGGTGGAGGATTACTCGTCTCAAGCTCGAAGATGCGAGGCTGTTTTCTGGAGACGGCTGTAAAGCTCGGCTAACGCGTTTAGCATGAATCTTGGAATCTTTCAGATGGAAGATCTTGGCCGTTTCGAAATGCATAGGCAGCACGTTGTGCTTCGCTCCTCCATCGAATCAAACAGGCCCTTGGCAAGATTGATCTTGCGATCCTGCCAGAAGAACCTTCCCTAGTAGGCTGTCAAAGGAGCTCCTCGCCTCTCTAAAGTTCTGGGCGACCGCAGTGATTATCGAATTAGTCAATCACTCGGGGCATGGTTTCAAACACTCTCCTTGCTTCCAACGCATAGCCTGTTTGGCATACAATTCTCTCACAGGCGATCACGTCAGATAAAAAAGACTGATTTTCTTGACGATCAATGTAAATGTTTGTACGTAAATGTAAATGTGACCTTTTATATTCTACGGCCAGGTACCAGAGCAGCCTGTTACCCGTCCGTTCTGCATTGAATGCGATTGAGTTAAGAGATCCATCTGATCAATACATTTAAAGCAGTTTAGAAAAAGAAAAGAAGAGAGAGAGAGAAGAAGCTGGAGAAAGAAATCCAAGATCTCCTTCCTCTGCGTGAGAGAGAGATGAAAGAATAGTTTTTCTTCTCTTTTCTGTTGTCCTCCTCTCCTCCTTGCTCCTGGCATTGATCGAGATCTCCTCCTCTCACAGCTCACAGCTATGGTGAGGAGGCTTCGCCACACAGAGAAAGGGGGATGGCAATGGTGGGTTTTAGCCGGCATTGTAGCATTGGTGGCTGTTCTATCCGTTGTCACAGTGTTCGTTGCGCAGCACAAGCACAGGCACAAAGGCGGGAGCTCCTCCTCCTCTTCCTCTTCTTCCTCGTCCCCAATCTCTGGAGGGAAGATCCCTCCAGCAAATGCCCAGCCTCCAGCCGCCAGCGTCTCGTATCCTCCATCCCAGGACTCCGGAGGCACTGTCTACGCCAAGTACGCGGAGCCACTCAAGATCTCTCTCCAGTTCTTCGACATCCAGAAATGTGAGTAGATTTTTCTTTCCTCGTCGACGATCGATTCCCTTGCAATTCCCCGAAATCGATCACGTTGGCTGCGAGAACTCCGCATTGGGTCCCTCGTGGTCGCTGTCGGTCCCTTCCCCTCCCCCTGGATTTTGCGTTTCCTCGTTCGTTCTAATGGTTTGGATCTTCCGCAGCGGGAAAGCTACCCCCAGACAATCCCATAGAATGGCGAGGAGATTCGGCGCTATCCGACGGTAGCGATGCACACGTGGATTTAAGCGGCGGAATGTATGACGCTGGGGATTACATCAAGTTTGGCTTTCCAATGGCGTTCACGGCCACCATTCTTTCGTGGAGCATTCTCGAGTATAGGAAGGAGTACACCGCCACGCAGCAACTCCACTCGGTCACTGGATCGCTCAAATGGATCACCGATTATCTCATCAAGGCCCACGCATCAGAGAACGAGCTCTACTTCCAGGTACACGTTTTTTTTTCTCCTCTCTTTCCTCTAGCTGCTATGGTTTCCTTGTGTATGTTTCTCTTGTTCTTTCTTTTGCTAATACCTAGAACTAGAATGATGGTTCTTTGGATTGCATTCTCTTTTGCTAGAGCTAATCTTTCTCTATGTTAGTCGCGTGAAATTGAGCTAGAGATAGATGGTATTCTCGGCTACATGTGAGTGTAATTTCTTGTCGTTGATAGATGGTTCTTCAGATATATGTGTGTATGTGTGTGTGTGTGTGTGTGTGTGTGTGTGAGAGAGAGAGAGAGACAGCTTTCTGTGTAACTTAGATATGTTTTCTCCTTTTCGCGTGTAATTTGAGGTGTTTTTTCCTTCCACCGATGCTTTCGAATTCCTGAGAAGATTCGATTTTGTCTTTCACGTTTTTATTGTGGATGTTCCTTGGAATGATCTTTTCGTCTGGTACAAGTGTAAGAACTCAGTTTTTCGCTAGTTCTCGTAGTATGTTCGTCTTCTATGATCAAGCTATCCTCTTTCTAACTTTTGTACTTTCGTGATAGCCAGGTAGGAAGCCCAAGGCTGGATCACGCATGCTGGGAGAGAGCCGAGAAGATGGACACTGCTCGCCCGTCTTTCAAGCTGGATCCATCACACCCAGGGACCGAGGTGGCGGCCGAGACGTCGGCGGCCATGGCAGCAGCCTCGCTCGTGTTTCGAAACGATGACCCCTCGTACGCACAAACTCTCCTCTCACACGCAACGCAGCTCTTCGCCTTTGCAGACAAGCATCGTGGATCTTACACCGCCAGCTTTCCATCCGATCAGCTGTACTATAACTCTACGGGCTTCGAGGACGAGCTCCTCTGGGCCGCTTCGTGGATGTTTTACGCGACCAAGGACTCAAAGTACCTCGCCTACGCGACTGGAAAGCTGGCACAGCTAAGCGCCGGATGGGAGAAAGCTCCTGCTTGGTTTAGCTGGGATGACAAGAAACCGGGCATTCAGGCAAGTTTTTCCACACTTTCTCAAACTTTCTAGTGTTTTTTTGACTTCCATTTCTTTTCTTGTGTTGTTTTCCTTCGATTCTTCCACACTCTTCTCACACTTCCATTCTTCTAGGTGCTGCTATCGCGACACTATTTGTTTGAGCCGGAGGAGAGTGATGTAATGGTGAGAAGCTCGCTGGTGAAGTATGGCAAGACTGCCGAACACCTGGTCTGTGCGTTTCTTCCACAGTCTCCCACTGCTAGCACGAACAGGAGTACCGGTGGATTGCTGTGGGTGAGCCAAAGGAACGCTGTCCAGCACGCCGTTGGCTCGGCTTTCTTAGCGGTCGTGTACGCGGACTATCTTTCGAGCTCGGGAGTTAAGCAGTTCCGGTGTTCCGGGAACAGCTTCGCGGCCAAAGATCTTCGGGCGTTTGCGGCTTCACAGGTACTAAAAACTTTGAGAGTTCTTCAAAGATAGAATTCGAGACTTAAAAGTAGTTACAAAGTTGGAACTAGAACTTAGAACTTTTGTGGTCTCAGGCTAAAAAAGTTCTCTTACAGGCCGATTACATCTTGGGAGAGAACCCCATGTCCAAGAGCTACCTCGTTGGATATGGCGCAAACTTTCCACAGCAGCTCCATCATAGAGAAGCATCCATACCTCTGGACGCAGCGACTGGGTGCAAAGATGGATTCCGGTGGCTCCACGCTTCTGCTCCAAATCCACACGTCGCCACCGGAGCTCTGGTCGGAGGGCCCTTTCAAAACGATAGCTACTCCGACTTGCGAGACAACACAATGCAAAACGAGGCCACCACTTACAATTCGGCCGCCATGTCTGCGCTGCTCGTGGCTTTGTATGCTAATGGTCCGATACTTCCAACAGCACTTTAAAGAGATTTGTCAAAAGGCTTTAGTTTCAATGGGAATTTTTCTTCTTTTTCTTTGTTAGATGACATCGCAAATTTGAGGAACTTGGGTTAGTGGTTAGTTAAAACTTGAGTGAAAAGAATCTTCATCACTCCAAGTAGAGCCAGTCCTGCCCATCGATAAACTTTATATCGCTGTACTCATAAGCTTGATCTGAGGTCAGCTGCTTGATCCAATTAACACGCCTGGTGCTGTCCGCGCCGGGACCAAAGTTCCCATGTTCGGCAAAGAACGCAGTCCTGCAGAATCCAGAGAGATTAGGCCCGTCACCTTTTCTCTTTCTATGTGGTGAGGAAACTGTCCTTACCCCGCGGCTGGGTTGTAAGCCCATTGGTCCCATCCAGTCGGGTTGACGACTTCGTCCAGGTAATTGTTGACAAATACTACCGAAGCATATTCCTTCCACGGACGACCCAGATGCACCAGGCCCGTCCCTCCAATGTAGCTGTTGTAAATCGAATAGCCCGAGTCCAATGTGGCATTGAACTTGGACTGAGCAGTGATCGATCCAGATTTGCTCCTCGCGTTTGAAATGATGAGACAGTCCTGTGGGAACGATGAAAACCAAGTAAGAAGAAAAGGTAAAACTTTCTTGTAAGTTTACCTCAAACAATGCCCGGCCTTGTCCAAAGATGAAATCGACATTTCCCTGAATGTAGCTTCTCTTGTAGTAATGCCTTCCTTTCTGATCGTAGAGGGTATCTTGGCTGGAAGTAATAAAGCAGTCGTAGAATGCCGCGTATTCACCCGAGACGCGAAGGGCCACGGCTTGGCCTCCCACAGCTCCGGAGTAAGCAAACGGAGCATCGTTCTAAATCATAAAAACAACAATAAGTCAGTATTGCATATGCTGTTAGCTTGGATTCGAGTTTTGTTTTTTTACCTTGAAAGTAATGTACTGAGCTACAAAGAAATTAGCCTCAACTGCAAATGTGGAGGTGTTGAACGTTTTGACGGAATTGTTGGTGTTCCCATTGAACACAATTACCGTGGAAAACTTGGCGTCAGGGTTACCGACAAGTGTGATGAAGTCTTTTGTTGCAGGGATTATGATCTTTTCACTGCACAGCCCAAACAAAACAAAAGAATGGCTGGTTTCTCACATTCACCACTAACATACCGATAAACTCCTGCTGCGACGTTGATGATATACCGCTGCTTGTTTTGGAGGGGAACAGCATTGATTGCCTCTGTGATCGTCTTGTACTCCTCGTCGGGGCCGACGTAAAGTTTGACTTTATCAGAATTTGCACGGGAAAGGGCTTCGCGGGGTGGAAGTTCAGTGTCGTCATCGTCACCACCATCATTGTCACGGTCGTCATGGTTGTCATCATCGTCATCATCATCCTCACGGCGGCCTAGGCATCCCCGATAATGAACAGACAAAATCAGAAAACCAAAGAGGAGAAAGAGAAGGTAAGGCTTCAACATTGTGGCTGCCTGAATATTTGTGTCAGGAAGTTGATAAGTTTTATAGAGGCCTGGAGCTAATTTATTATTATGTGAGTTTTGATAAATTTAACAATGAACCATATTAGTTAAACAATAAACCATATAAATTTATTAACGAAAATAACCTTTTGGTGCTGCGAAAGGTTAAACTAAAAGAATGGTTTATTAATTTTGTTATGGGGTGGTGGCGCAGTTGGTCAGCGCGTAGGTCTCATAGCTTCTAGGTTATCCTGAGGTCGAGAGTTCGAGCCTCTCTCACCCCATTTTTTCTCCCAATAAGTTTGCGATTTTATTTAAATCAGATTTAAAATCATAGGACAATTCATTTTGTGCCTCCAATTTGGTTAGTTCTTGATGCAGTGGCCCTTGCTCCATTTCCAGCCAAACTGGCATTGGTGGCACTTGTTGTTGTACCAGTACCAGTTGCTCGGGCAACTCACGCATTTGCTTCCATTCCACTTCCATCCGGAGAGGCATCGGTGGCAATCGTTGCTATACCAGTACCAACCTTTGGGACACTGAATGCACTTGTGGCCGTCCCAGTTCCATCCAGATTTGCATCGTTGCTGGGCTGCTGCGTTTGCAATCCCACCGACGTCCACTCCAACCAGGAGGATTGTCACAAACATGGCCAGAAGCATCAGCTGGGACTTGCTCGCCATTGTATCGTCAATCTAGAAATGTAAACTAATCGCTTTTCTTGTATCTCTTCTTTCTCTTGATTAACTGCTTTGCTGGGTTCTGCCAATGTGTACCAATTTATATGGAGGATTTGAGGCTGAGTCCAAGTAAGACAGCTATGCACACGGTTTTTACTGCGTCTCCGGCACGACATGTCGTGTTTGTGCTTGATTGACGGGGTCAATCCAAATGAAACAGTCTCATTATTCCTATTTAAGTCCTGTGAAATCATCAAAAATTACGAGTTAAGCATTAAAAAATATGATAATGTTTTTAAAGGTAAATAGCTAGAAACTAATCTACGTTTCTCTCTCATCTCTTGTCTCCTGAATGAAATCTCAGAGTATGGAACTCTGCAGTGCAATTCGGTAATCTTGCTACTCAAGTTGCTAGAAACTAAAAGTGAAATTGGCAGCTGGTGCACACTTTTTCTACCTTTTGTTACCTGCCAAAAGAACATAGAAAAACGGCAAAAAAAAAAAAGAAATTCCACTCTTTAATCTCAAGAAAGAAGTGGGTAAGGGATGGCACTGGATGAGTGGAGAGAGAGAGAGAGAGAGAGAGAGAGAGAGAGAAAGAACACTTGATTTGTAATGCAAATAATAGAAGTGTGGAGATGCCTAACTTTCCTAAGAGCCAAATATTTATATTACATGCCAACATGCCAAAAGAGATAATTGCTTGTTGGGGAGAATGCCTAAATCAGGAAAAATTCCAGCCTTTCCATAGACTTTGTATGCTTCAGCAGCAAGTGTCTTGTCAAGTGGACTCTGCATGAGCTTTAGAATGCAATGTCATGGAAAGAAAAGCACACACATTTTATTCACCAAAAGGTTACAATGATCATTGGCGTTGACATCTTATATGAGCTTGGATCTCGATGGGTAACTTCAATTCTTCTTGCAGAAACTTCCAGTCCAGCGCCAGCCCATCTGGCAGCGGTGGCAAGAGTTCCCATACCAGTACCAGTTGGTCGGGCAGCGGTGGCAAGAACCCGAGTACCAGTACCAATTGTGCGGGCATCGATATCGCTGGCAAAAATTGTTGTACCAGTACCAGCGGGGCGGGCAAGAGACGTACGTCTTCCCATCCCAGTGCTTGCATCGCCCCTGGGCGCTCGCGCTTGCAATTCCTCCAATGTCAACTCCCACCAGGAGCACCAAACATCGCCAGCAGCATCTTGTTGCTCGCCATCTTTAGAACTTTCTTAGACTTGCCTAAAGAAACTTGCAGAAGCTTGAGTGTGAACTTTGATGTGCTTGAGTGCGGGATTGACCGCGTCTTATAAGTTCCGGATGACTCGCTGACTTTCTCAACGTTAAAAAGTCAAATGTTATGTGAAACTGCGAAACAATGAGGTGACAGAAGGATGGAAATCAAATGACTTGAATTACCTCAAACAATGGCCGGCCTTGTCCAAAGATGAATCTCTCTTGTAGTAATGCCTTCTGTTGCGATCATAGAGGGCATCTTGGCTGGAAGCAATACGCTCGTGGAATCCTTCCCGAGCACACAATCTACGCCACTTCCTCTTTTTTTAACTTTTCATAGCACTTTCAAAACAAAGTTTTTATGATTTAAGCTTTACTTCGTGTGAGGTCGAGAGTTCGAACCTCTCTCACCCCATTTTTTCTCCCAATAAGTTTGCGATTTTATTTAAATCAGATTTAAAATCATAGGACAATTCATTTTGTGCCTCCAATTTGGTTAGTTCTTGATGCAGTGGCCCTTGCTCCATTTCCAGCCAAACTGGCATTGGTGGCACTTGTTGTTGTACCAGTACCAGTTGCTCGGGCAACTCACGCATTTGCTTCCACTCCACTTCCATCCGGAGAGGCATCGGTGGCAATCGCTGCTATACCAGTACCAGCCTTTGGGACACTGGATGCACTTATGACCGTCCCAGTTCCATCCAGATTTGCATTGCCGCTGGGCTGCTGCGCCTTCGATTCCACCAACGTCCACTCCAACCAGGAGGATTGTCACAAACATGGCCAGAAGCATCAGCTGGGACTTGCTCGCCATTGTATCGTCAATCTAGAAATGTAAACTAATTGCTTTTCTTGTATCCCTTGTTTGCTTTGCTGTGTTATGGTGCCAGAGTAGTGCCAATTTATATGGAGGATTTGAGGCTGAGTCTAAGTAACACTGCTATGTACACGGTTTTTACTGCTTCTCGGGCACGATATGTCGTGTTTGTGCTTCATTGACGGGGTCAATAAACAAGTGTACGACTTTATTCAAATGAAACAACCTCGAGTTTTGTTGTGAAATTATCAAAAATATCCCGGTGACTATAAAAATGTCTATCTATCTATCTATCTAATTGCGATCAATCACTATTTTATATGAATATAAATTGAGTTGCTAACTGGTTCATATGCATTAAAAAATATGGTAATGTTTTTAAAAGTGAACGCACTTATTGAGTGACATGTATGTGGTGGAGAAAAGGCCTCAAGCTTCTAAACATTCAGAATTTTTTTATGAAATATTAGAAAATGAAACTCAAGCAGCAAGGCAGGATGAAATCTCTTCTGATTTTGTTGCCGAGGAAATTGGACTTCGCTAGACGACACATATTATTTACCAAAAAGTTATTACAATTGGCTATTATACAAGTTTCAGCATGGATCTTGATGGGCAATTCAGTCCTTATAGAACCTTCCAGTCCAGCGCCTGCCCCTTTTCGCATCTGTGGCAACCGATGCCATACCAGTACCAACAGAGCAGCGGTGGCAAGAACTGGTATTCCAGAACCAGTACTGGCATCCAGGAATTGTTGTACCAGAGACGCACTTCGTATCCCAGTGCCACCCCGACTTGCATTCCCACTTCTAGGCGCTTGCATTTGCAATGCCTCCAATGTCAACTCCCACCAGGAGCACCGCCTCACGCTCTTCTTGTTGCTCGCCAGTTTCTTAAAACTCTCCTCTTGTCTCGACTTGCAAACGATAAGAAACTTTGAGAAACTTGAAGCTTGAAGTGTTGGATGGGAGGATTTACAGTTCTAGGCGGTGACCACGTCTTACAGGATTAGCACGTTTAGTTCAGGGCTACTCATTGACAATATCTGCGTTAGAAAGTAAAATGTGAAGCTGTGATACAATGCGGCCTTGGCTTGGACTGGGTACGGATTGATCCAGATTTGGTCCTCGCGTTTGAGACAACACAATCCTGTGGGGAAGGATGGAAACCAACTAGAAAATTCACGTAAACGTTTCTTGAAGTTTACCTCAAACAATGTCTAAAAGATGACATAGACACTTCTCTGGTAGCTTCTCTTGTACTGAAGCCTTCCTTTGTGTTCGTAGAGTATCTTGGCTGTAAGTAAAAATCAGTCGTAGAATGCAGCTAATTATTCACGCAGGATAAGTTAAATAAAGGTTAGAAAGAAAGAAAGCTGGGGTCGGGAGTTCGAGCTCACATCTTTCATATACTTTCATAACGAAATGGACATGGGACAATTATTTTGTGACGATCCATTAAATATTGGATTCCAACTTGGTCAGGTCTTGATGCAGTGGTCCTTGCTCCATTTCCAGCCAAATTGGCATTGGTGGCACTTGTTGTTGTACCAGTACCAGTTGCTCGGGCAACTCACGCATTTGTTTCCACTCCACTTCCAACCGTAGAGACATTGGTGGCAATCGTTGCTATACCAGTACCACCCTTTGGGACACTGGATGCACTTGTGGCCGTCCTAGTTCCAGCCAGATTTGCATTTCTGCTGGGCTGCTGCGCTTGGGATTCCACCAACGTCCACTCCAACCAGGAGAATTGTCACAAACATGGCCAGAAGCATCAGCTGGGACTTGCTCGCCATTGTATCGTCAATAGAAATGCAAACTGATTGCTTTTCTTGTATCTCTTCTTTCTCTTGATTAAATGCTTTGCTGGGTTATGGTGTTGCCAATGTGGGACCAATTTATATGGAGGATTTGAGGCTGAGTCCAAGTAAGACAGCTATGCACACGGTTTTTACCGCGTCTCCGGCACGACATGTCGTGTTTGTGCTTGATTGACGGGGTCAATCCAAATGAAATAGTCTCTATTTAAGTCCCGTGAAATCATCAAAAGATAATGGATTTTTGTTTTACCTGAGTTGCTAACTGATACATATGCATTAAAAAATATGATAACATTTGTACGAACCGTAATTTCTTGATGGGTATTTAAAGTCCACTCAGAAGCAAGAACTAAGAAAAAGTAAACTAAACTAAACTGGCTAAACTACGACTTTAATTCACATTTCTCTCTCATCTCTTGTTTCCTCAGAGTATGAAACTCAGCAGTGCAAGACTTCGGTATTTCGATAATCTTGCTGCTCGAGTTGCTAGAAACTAAAAGTGAAACTGGCAGCAAGTCTCTCGTCAAGCAGATTCTGGATGAGGAAACCGAGCCTTAGAATGGGATGTCATGGAAAGAAAAGCACACACATTTTATTCACCAAAAGGTTATCACAAGAAACAGCACAACCACAATATTTATTGTCGTTGACATATTACATGAGCTTGGATCTTGATGGGCAACTTCAGTTCTTCTTGCAGAAACTTCCGGTCCAGCGCCAGCCCATCTGGCAGTGGTGGCAAGAGTTGCCATACCAGTACCAGTTGATCGGGCAGCGGTGGCAAGAACCCGAGTACCAGTACCAGTTAATCGGGCAGCGGTGGCAAGAACCCGAGTACCAGTACCAGTTGTGCGGGCATCGGTGGCAAGAATTGTTGTACCAGTACCAGCTTGGCAGGCAAGAGACGCACTTCTTCCCATCCCAGTGCCACCCCGGCTTGCATCGCCCCTGGGCGCTCGCACTTGCAATTCCTCCAATGTCAACTCCCACCAGGAGCACCACCACAAGCATCGCCAGCAGCATCTTGTTGCTCGCCATCTTTTTTAAGAACGCCTCTTGCTTTGATGTGATCCCAGACTTGTGAACGAGATCGGAGAAAGTTAGAGAAACTTGGAGAAGCTTGAGTGTGAG